CCCCCCAGAGACAGAACAGCTGGATTTCACTTCTGGGAAGAGGCTGCTGCATCCGGCGGCCAGGCCAAGCTGGAGGGGAGGGAGTCAGAGAAAGGGGGAGACGGGCCCCGGGGGAGGGGAAAGGGGCGGATTTACCTGCAGCTCGGACTTTTTTTGGCCTCTTCTTGTTAGTTCAGAGAAATGTTTTTATACCCCTCTCCCCACACAATCAATAACCCCAGTTCCTTCCCTCTGCGCTGCTGAGCCCCCCCCCCGCCTTCCCCTGCCCCCAATCTACACCAGACCCCTGCTGCAGCCTGGCCGAGGGGGGGGGGTTGCTGATGTCAATGGGAAGGGGCTGGGCTCGGGCAGGGGGAGTGAGGCAGACACCTAGGTCCAGGCCTATGTTCCCTTTTCCAGCAATGTGCAGATTTTTTTACTCCATGTGTAGAGTACATAAGAACAGGCCAGACTGGGTCAGACCAATGGCCGATCCAGCCCAGAGTCCTGTCTGCCCACAGTGGCCAATACCAGATGCCCCAGAGAGAGGGAACAGAACAGAGAAGCCTCAGGATCACTCTCCTGTCAATCATTTCCAGACCAACCGAGGCTAGGGACATCACTCTGACCCAGCCTGGCTAATAGCCAATGATGGACCTAACCTCCATGAATCTATCTAGCTCTTTTTGGAACCCTGTTAAAGTCCTGGCCTTCACCACATCCTCTGGCGAGGAGTTCCACAGGTTGACTGTGCTGAGTGAAGAAAAACTTCCTTTTGTTTGTTTTAAACCTTCTGCCTATTCATTGCATTTGGTGACCCTTTGTTCTTATATGGTGGGAATAAGTCAATAACTTTGCCTTATTCATTTTCCCCACACCAGTCATGATTTTATAGACCTCTAGCATCTCCCCCCTTAGTCTCCTCTATTCTAAGCTGAAAAGTCCAAGTCTTTTGAATCTCTCTTCCTAGGGGGACCCGTTCCAAACCCTTAATCATTTTTGTTGCCCTTTTCTGAACCTTTTCCAATGCCAAGAGATCTTTCTGGAGATGAGACGACCACATCTATATGCAGTATTCAAGTTGTGGATGTACCAGGGCTTTATATAGAGGCAGTAAGATATTTTCTGTTTTATTCTCTATCCCTTTTTAAATAATTCCTAACATTCTGTTTGCTTTTTTGACAGCTGCTGCACACTGAGTAGATTTTTATTCTGTGCCCCAAGGTGTGCGCACCACTAGGAGCAACGCAAACCTAGCTATGGGTGCTCTGCTAATCAGCTGGGCAACACTGGAATCTCTCTTGAGTGGCCACACAAATGCTCAATTTATGGGGATCACTGGTCCAGATGTGGATAAATCCCTGTAATATTATATTTTGTATTAAGATCTTGTCCTTTTAGATCTATCTTTAAGTGTTCGTATTGAATCTCTGGAACATTTCTCCTAGAACTTTGTATTAAGATAGATAGATCTTGTAAGAAAAAATGTCTTTTGAGCTCTCCCCTTTCCTTGATTGCCCTGTTGAAATGAATGAGGTGTGAATGGAGAATGAAAGGGGAGCACCTCCAGCAGCAGTTGCAAGGGTGAAGAAGGTCTGGGAGTCAGATCCAAGACAATACCCGTAAAATAGTGATAGAGATGTAGCTGTGTTAGTCTGGTGTAGCTGAAACAAAAGACAGGACTATGTAGCACTTTAAAGACTAACAAGATGGTTTATTAGGTGATGAGCTTTCGTGGGCCAGACCCACTTCCTCAGATCAAATAGTGGAAGAAAATAGTCACAACCATATATACCAAAGGATACAATTTTAAAAAAATGAACATATATGAAAAGGACAAATCACATTTCAGAACAGAAGGGGGATGCAGGGGGGGGGGAAGGAAGGTGAATGCCAGTGAGTTAATGATATTAGAGGTGGGGAAGGGGAGATGTCTGTGAGTTAATAGTATTAGAGGTGATAATTGGGGATGCTATCTTTGTAATGGGTAAGATAGCTGGAGTCTTTGTTAAGTCCCCTGCGGAGAGTGTCGAATTTTAGCATGAATGCCCGTTCAGAGGATTCCCTTTCAAGTGCAGATTTGAATGTCTTCTGAAGTAGGATGCAGGTTAGCAGGTCATTGAGACAGTGTCCTTTCTGGTTGAAATGGCAAGCAACTGTTTTTTCTTTGTGATCCTGTCTAATGTCTGTTTTGTGGGCATTGATTCTTTGGCGAAGTGTCTGAGACGTTTGTCCAATGTACATAGCAGACGGACACTTTCGGCACATGATGGCATAGATTATATTTCTGGAGACGCAGGAATATGTGTTCTTGATCTTATAACTCACTTGGTTAGGCCCAATAATGGTGTCAGCAGAGTGAATATGTGGACAAAGCTGGCAGCGGGGTTTGTTGCAAGGGAAAGTACCAGGGTTGGTATTAGTGTGGTATGTCCTGTGGTTGTTGGTAAGAATCATCTTGAGGTTAGGTGGTTGTCAATACCTGTAAAGTGAGCTCATTAAGAAGACTGGACATACAGAGGCCTTGGGAGTCAAGCAGCAAGTGCCTGCCCTTGGAAGAACTCTCTTTGAAGCAGCATTAAGAAAGACGAGGTGATAACTAATTGGCTGCATGAGAGGGATAAATAGGAGGCCTCTTGCAGAGGGACCCCGAGTTTTTGTCTTGTCAACATGGGAGCATCAATCCGGATCGGCAGAAGCCTGGCTCCATCCCCTCCCGCATCTAACTCACCTGGCCAGTGCAGTTAGGGGGAGCAACTTTTGGCAACAACAAGACGGAGTGTGTGTGTGTATGTGAGAGTGCATGAGTGTGATGTGTCATATGCATATGATAAGTATTGATTCTTCTGTGTGTGTTCAATAAATGTGGCGTGTTGCCTTATCCCCCAGAAAAAGATCCCGAGTACTTCTTTTAAGTACAACACAGACCCCCTAGAATTGCCCCCAGTTCTGGAGCGCCCGGCCAGCGACTGCTCCATGGAAGAGAACCCCACAGGCCAACCGGCCTGCTGCCAGTGCCTGCCCGCAGGAGCTGGGGGCAGCAGGGCGTGTTTGGTAGAGAATGGACTTTGCATTGATGATTCTTGAAATGTACAGCCCCTGGCGCAGTGAGGTCCTGGCCCATTGCTGGGGATCTTTGGCACGACGGCTAGACAACTAATGACGGTGCGGTCACAGGGCAGCTGCCCCTTTAAGGGGAGGAGGCTTTTCCAGGCCCCTGGTACTGATTGTTCACCTGTTCCCACCCAAAGGGGGCCAGGTGAGAGCTGAACCTAGGAAGGGGTTGATGGGAGCACCTGGGCCCTATCCTCAGGACTTCTCTGGACACCAGAGAAGGGGAGGGATTGGCAGCATGGAGCAACGAGGAGGAAGCTCAGGGGTGCTGGGGTAGGCAGTACACTGGGGCTTGTCTCCTGCTCAGTGGGGTTGTGGCTTGGTTTGTAGTGTGGAGCAGAGGATGAAATTACCAGGTGGAATGGGCCCCCTCTTTAAACACGCAGGTAGGTGATGCTGTTCCGCTTGGCTAAGCATGGACCCCTCTTGCTCTCCTTAAGTTTGGAGCAACCCCTGGGGAAGTCTTGGGGGTCTCCTAGCCCCAGGAAATGGGAACCTGAACCCCAGATGTCAGGATTTGAACCCAAACATAGCACACTGGATCTCTGGTAACCCCTGAAGGAGGAACCTGTGGCCAGGAGGGTGGGGCTGAGTCACAAAGAACCGGGTGATCCCAGGGTTTGAACAGCAGTTCCTGCATTGCTGACCTAGCCCTAAGGAGACCTATTGCCCAGTGAGATGCTCCTCTAGAAGTTTACTAGCTAGAATATGCTGTACACTTTTAACAGTGAGAATAATTCACCACTACAGCTTTTTACTAGAGGTCAGGGTGGACTCTCCATCACCTGCTGACTTTTTTTCTAAAAATTTTTCTCTGGGAATGATTTGGGGGCAGTTCTCTTCCTCTTCATCCCACAGCCCTGCTTTTCTCTCCCCCACATCTCCTCCCCTTCTGGACAGAGGGTGGGTCGCTGGGGGGTGGCTGTTAGAAACAGGATGGTGTTGGTGGCAGCGGTGGGTTTTCCATCTTGCAGTGTCAGCCAGTCCAGACCAGCTGCTTCCATGGAAGCTGCTCTAGTCAAACATGTGACTGGGCTCCACAGAGGGGAAGAGGGTGAAATGTAATGTTGGGTGTATGCAGAAGAGCAGACGAGCTGATCGAATGTTCCCTCCTGGACTAAACCGCTAATTGCCCGTGGGTTAAAGCACCAGAACCGAGGCGCCAGGGCACCTTGCTTCTAGTCCCAACTTTCCACTGAGAGTTCTTGGGCATGTCCCTTTTCCCTCTTATCTCTGCACTTTCCTCATCTGTAGAATGGGGCTAATGGCTCTGACTACCCACGGAGGGCTGCCAGGTTTGGCTTGCTGGAGAAGAGAATCGGTTGTTCTGCTAAACCCCCGGTTGCAGGGGGGCTCACCCCCCAAAGTAAAGACACAGTAATGGCAGGGAGGAAGGATTGCTGTATTGGCCATTGGCTCCTGCCCATTCAGCCCAACAGATTCAGGCTCTCTGCAGACTCAGGCAGCACCATGGCTCACCTGGTGAGCTCTTCTTGGCACCCTTGAGGATTAGAAACTGACTGACATGGCCCCAGTCCAGTGCCATCCCCTGGCTCTGGACCCCCGGCGTGGGTCTGTACCGCTTTCCCCTAAGGACACCCGATGCACTGCTAGTTGCCCCAGTGCCGGGCTAGGAGAGGGATTTGCCCTGTGTTCCAGCCCAGCAGCAAAGTTCAAAGCCCCCAGTGCCGGGCTAGGAGAGGGATTTGCCCTGTGTTCCAAACCAGCAGCAAAGTTCAAAGCTGCCTCTTCCCCGCCCTCCAAAGGCAGGTGGGGCCACGGGATGGCCACGAATGCGGCGTGGGGGCCGCTCACCTGCACACGGCACCCCGGGTCTCTGATCCCGCCGGACGCAGGAGGATCAACGACACCGCAAGCCTTTGGGGTTGGCAAGACGTTATTAGAAGAAAAGCAGCAGGCAGCTAACAGGCCTGGAAGGGCGCGACCCCACTCAGGACAATGGTCTGGGGTCGTCTGAACCCAAGAAACGCCCAGACGCTGGCTCTTCCTCGCCGTTTCCCCATCATCTCTCAGTGCTGGGCAGCAGCCAGTAGGATCCCTCCTCTAGGGACCGGTTGGGCAGGAACCCGTCTCCGGGCCCAACCCAAGGTCGTCGCAAAATCATGGTTCAGAGCTGCCCCCTTGCAGTCTGCTGTGTCCCTATAGGGATTCTCCTTACTCCCCGGGGACTGGTCAGCCCTGGAACACACACCCCGACAGAACAGCAGAGGGGGAGAGAAAGGCGAGATGGGGCCCAGGCGCGGAGGGGAAGGGTGGCCTTAGGGTTACATGTGGCTGCTGAGTTCTAGTCCCGACTCTACCACGTGCTCTTGGGGTGACTCGCTAATCTCGTGCCTCAGTTTCCCATCTGTGAAAAGGAGATAAGAGGCAGCTGGTGGAAGGCTGGAGCTGTCTTTGGTGGAGGTGACAGGGCAAGTCCCTCCCCCTTGCTGGGAAAGTCAGACAACTGGTGGGGTCTCTGGGCAAGTCTGTATCCAAATGCCTTGATCACAAGATGAAGCTGCTCTGCTCACAGGAGAAGGATCCCAGTGAAGGACAGAACCAGCAGCACGAGGTAGAGAGAGACCCTCTGGCCAAGGAGGCTGCCCCCATTGGAGCGCTGATTTTTCTGGTTGCGGAGCTCCACATTCAGCCAGCGGATGGTCTCCTGGAGTTGATCTCTGGAGGGACAAGCAAACAGGAAAATGCTCTTTAACTCAGAGCTTGGGGGGAGCTCCCACCCCCCAGGGTTGGAACTGGCAGGGCTCACCTTTCCTCCTGGAACCTTTGCTGGGAATCCTGCAGCTGCTGGGACTGGCTGGAGAGTTCATCTCGGAGCTTGTCAATTTTCTCTGGACAAGGAGGTGAAGGGAAAGTGATCGAGTCTCTTGTGTTACCCAGCTGGGTTTTAGCCCCCAGGCCTCTCCATTCTCTAGCACCATGGACACCTCTCCATCCATGTTCCCGCTAATCTTTTCTAGCCACACGCGGATTTTTTCCCCACACATGTGCGGAATAAATTTCTAGGTGCACTGAGGCATGTGCACCACCAAGAGAAACAGCACTCTGCTAATCAGCTGGGCTGCATTCAAATTTCTCCTGAGCAAGAAACAGCACTCCGCTCATCAGCTGGGCTACATTCGAATTTCTCCTGAGCGGCAGCACAAGTGCACAGCTTACCGGGAATGCTGCTCTCCATCTGTCTTCACCCCTAGATCCCATTTTGTCTGCCCCCATCCCCCTCTGACACAAGGAGCCTCTTTCAAGCCCTCTAGGGCATTAGCTGGCACCTCACCTTGTAACCCTTGTTCCTTGGCCTCCCGCTCCAAGTCTCTGTCTTCCAGCTGGGTGACTTTGTTCCTGAGGGCAGTGAGGTTGCTCTGCAGTTTGTCCTGAGTGGGAAGAGGAGGGGGGGAGAAAGGAGCAGTTATCTGGGATTGTGCAATTGCAGAAAGCCCATGAAACTGTTTCTGGTCTTTCAGATTCAAGAACCTATTCCCTTGTGTGCCCCTTCCCTGTTTTTTCAACCCCCAGGGGTTTCCTCCACGTGGAACATAAGAACATAAGAACGGCCGTACTGGGTCAGACCAAAGGTCCATCTAGCCCAGTATCCTGTCTGCCGACAGTGGCCAGCACCAGGTGCCCCAGAGGGGGTGGACCGAAGACAATGATCAAGCGATTTGTCTCCTGCCATCCCTCTCCAGCCTCTGACAAACAGAGGCCAGGGACACCATTTTATCCCCTTTTATGGACCTAACCTCCATGAAATTATCTAGCGTCTCTTTAAACTCTGTTATAGTCCTAGCCTTCACAGCCTCCTCTGGCAAGGAGTTCCACAGGTTGACTACACGCTGTGTGAAGAAGAACTTCCTTTTATTAGTTTTAAACCTGCTACCCATTAATTTCATTTGGTGTCCTCTAGTTCTTCTATTATGGGAACTAATAAATAACTTTTCTTTATCGGCCCTCTCCACACCACTCATGATTTTATAGACCTCTATCATATCCCCCCTCAGTCTCCTCTTTTCTAAACTGAAAAGTCCCAGTCTCTTTAGCCTCTCCTCATATGGGACCCGTTCCAAACCCCTCATCATTTTAGTTGCCCTTTTCTGAACGAACTCGTCCTTGAGCTGAGCTAGGGAATAAGTCGAACAGAAGAAAATATTTTTTCCTCTCTACATCCAGAAATGGCTACTAATGGCAACAGCTGAGTCAGCGTGCCAGCCCTCTCTAGGTCCGGTGCCTTACCCCAGCAAAGTGGGCGTCTTTCTTTAACACCCGCCAGAAAACAGAAAATGCTTGGCTTTCCTTTCAGTCAGTTTCAAGGGTTTGACTAGTCTCTAGGAAATTGAGGTCTCAGACCAAGTTGTCCCAATCTTACATCTAATTTGAAAGAGGGTTATTTTTTTTAAAAGGAAATTGTATTCAATTTATATTCCCAAAAAGCTGGCAGGAGAGGGGATGGGGTGAGGAGAGGCAGAGAGGGGTTGTGAGGGATAGGTCGGGGCGTGGGGGATAGATGGAGGCGGGGTTATTTTTTTTAAAAGGAAATTGTATTCAATTTATATTCCCAAAAAGCTGGCAGGAGAGGGGATGGGGTGAGGAGAGGCAGAGAGGGGTTGTGAGGGATAGGTCGGGGCGTGGGGGATAGATGGAGGCGTGAGCGATGGGGGATGTGGGGAAAGATAGATGGGGTGGGGGATAGA